AGGTGGCAGTGAGGATTCCATGAGATTTTGTGAGTATGCAGTGGCCAGCACAGGACTTGCTAAGCAGCAGGCGTTCTGGAAATATTTGCCTTTGAAACCCATGAAGAAGCCCATCTTCCTGGAGCGCTTAGGCCTGCGCCCCGGGCAGATCCATTCAAGCCCAGGGCGGGTGATAGGGGGGTAATTAAGGACAGGGTGTGGCCGCTGCTCACACACACCTCTTCTCCCTACACCCCCTCCACCGCGCAGCACCGCTCCCACACCACACCTCCATCTCCAGCGGCACTCGGCCCCCAGGCTGTGATTCGGCATCTGGTCCACAAAGGGACCCGCACTGACTGGGCTGATGGGTGACGCTGTCTCCCCAAAACCCAAAGCCCTTGCACGAGAACCCTAGCACCGAGGCCCACAGTGCCTGGGGCTTTCTTCGGTATCTTGTCGCCCCCGCGTGGCCAGGCTGAGTTCTTCCACTTGGGCTTTGGTCTGCACAGAGAATTCCTGGCGCCGCTCCCGGCTGTGCAGGAGCCAGATTCCCGGCCCCAACCCAGAGAATCGATATCACATCCACATATCTTTGATCTCCAAACCCTCTGGCCACACGGCTCCCCGCTGAGTCGAAAGAGGAAAGACTCGCGGGCACCTAGTTGACCGGCAGCACAGGGTCAAAACGCTGCAAGAAAGGAATTCCCACTGGGCGCCCCTCCACTCAGCATGCCCACACCCCGCAGAATAACAAAGAACGTTTCTTGATTTTTTGATAATAACCTTTTTTCATATTTGCATAACACGTTATCCTCACATAATCAAATTCCAAGCTGTAGTTCTTGTCATATGCATATTCAATGTCTACATTTTTTTCCTCCAGAAACATTGTGTTTTACAGGCTACATTTAAAAAAAAAAAGATTTTATTTATGGGTAGAAGAACTGGGGTGTGAACTATGCAATTGTTTTTGTCTTTACTCCTCTCTCCTTCCTTTTCATTCCTTGAGGATCTAACAGTTTCAGCCAAAGGGTTCTTCCTATAACTTTCCACCAGGTTATACTACAATCGTAGATTTGCATCTCTGCACACATTTGTGTAACTCTTTAATCTATAGTTATGTCATTTAATCCTCACAATAACTTGACTAATTAGGGCCATTTCAGACCTGAGGAAACCGAGGTTGTGATTTCAATTTTAAGCCTGTTTGTTGAGTATCTATAGAGTCTATGCTGAACATTTTCTTGTCACTAATTTTTACAATGTGTTATTTGTCCTTGAGAAACCAGATTAGGAACTTTAAGGAAAATCATCAACAAGCAAATAGTAACACAGCAGAGTGTGATTACAAAGCCCAGTGCAGTCTAGTCACCTGTCACTCCTCTAAACTGCGCTGGTGTTGAAGTTGAAGGGAATTCTGAGAATTGAGAGTTGTTTTGCCAAGGGATGTGTGCATGTGTGGAGTAAGTGGATTATTACAAGCTTCCTATTATGTAACTAGTTCTTTTAATAACTGCCTTGTTTCCTCACATGTAAAACAATGAAAACACCTGCATTGCAGAGATCCTAGGTAGAAATAAAGAGCCCTTGTTTAATCCTCCTAAACTATAAGTTGGGATACAAAGAAGAGATCCATTGAAATATTGTAAATGCTATTTATTGGTTTCCTTTTCTTGTTTTATGAATTTACTATTTGTTAAACCAGAAAGTACTATACATTCTTTGGAAGAAGTCAAACAACACAGCAATGCAAAATGAAGTTAATCATCTCCCTCTTCCCTCTTCCCAGGGTAAACAGTGTGGTCTTGGGTGTGGATACGTTGAAAGGGTATGCTCATGAAAATAGTTCAGAGACGCTGTTTCACTTTGTTGCAATTGTACTAGTCATAATCCTCGCAGCTTGCTGATTTGTCACTTATTTAACAGACTAAATATTACTAAATATTACTAAATAGTAATTCCATTTATCTTGCTGTGTCATTTGTTTAATATCTGTAGTGCACTGGTTTCTTCATTTTTTAAAGGATTATCCAGAATATTTCTTCAATAGACCGCTTTTTTTTGAGAGAGAACACTCTTTTCCCTTCATTACTGTGTCAACCTTCTCATTGTCCCAGAAAGGTTTGTGACCTTTCTGGAAAGGTCTAGCTAGCTCCTGGAGGCATCTGATTTCTGTGCCAAAAAGCTGCATTGTCCCTCTTTGTTTCCTAACCACTGTTTCCTGCTAGCAAGACAGGAGCTTATTCCAGAGTTGCTGACATCATTACTGACAGTGTCCTCTGGGTGCTCTCTTCAAGCCCACTTTGTTTCAGAAATAGCAAATAAAAAAGCGCGTATTTCAGCAAACCCTAAAGAAACACTTCAAAACTCAGTACCAACGAGCAGACAGAGGGTCCTTGGTCTAGGGATATGTCCCTGGTCTAGGGATGTGTCCTTTGGCCCCACTGACCTGGTTCTTGCTAGATAAAGACCCCTGCCTGGCTCCCTGGTTCCAGCTCTTTCTCCCTCCAGTCAGCCCCCTTCCTCTCTTGCCACCATCACCTTGAAGTCTCATGATGGCCTTCCTCAGCTCAGAAACTTGAAATATCTCCCTATTTCTTCTGAAATGAAGTCCCAGCTTTTACCTGTGAGTCCTGGGAAACTCCTTTTCAAAAGGGAATATCTATCTCCAAAGCATGTTCTCCTGGATTCTACAGAAGCTCTTGCACGGAAGCCCAGGAGTAATACTGTCTTTTTTTCCTTCCTTTATCACCTATAATTCTTCACCTCTAACTGCCTTGTCTTTCTGCCTCAAGTTGATCTATTTCTTTCTGCTCCCACTGAGAGCTTTTTCCTGCCTTCCCTTCAAGCCTTGCATGGACTGTCCCTCTGTTGCCCCCAACCTTCTAAAATTGCCAGAGGAAGCTACTTTGAGGCTCCTGAAGGGGTTTCTGAGCAAGGCATTAGGGGTACCAGGAGTGTAGGGAGTAGCTGGGTACCTGGTCCCTAACATCTATTAAGTCATTGTCTACTTGAGTTTAAAAGCAGTTAGTTCATGACAAAAACATTATGAGACTCGGTGTGGCTGAACTTTTCCATATCTGGTATGTTTAGCTCAGTCCCATTTGTTGTATTGCTCTTGTGATGCATTTTATATATTTGGAGCAGGGGAATACCTTGACTGGTATCTTGGCCCTCAACTATGCCCTTCTTAGAGGACGAGGTATAAGTGCGCCATCTGGTGGCAGCCACGGTAGTTGCGGGGATAGAATCTGGAGGGAGCAAGTTCCCAGAGAGCCAGCCGTCTTCTCCAGCAGTGAGGTTAACTGACCCTATGGCAGGTGGTGGGATTGGAAGCTTGTTTTGTGTCTGCTTCCTTGCAGAAACAACTTTCTCTGCATTTACAACAAAAGCTATCAGTGAGAAACGATAAGGAAAAAGCAAACCACCCTAACATTAAATCCTTGTTTTTGCCTGCTACTAAGTGGTGGCAAATTTTCTGAATTTCTCAGCCATTCTGACTTCTGGACCTGCACTCATTCCTGAAAGGCAGAGCCTAGATGTGCCTGTGCTTTCTTCTGGAACTGTGTTGGGTCAGCCTAGAGCTCTCTCCAGAGTCCCTCCCAGGCAGGCCCAGCTGGAGGTGGGGAATGGAATGTGCTCCTGTGAAAGATGAGTTAGCTTGTTGGGGGTTGGGGGGGAGGAAAAGGGGGAGAACAGCACCAGGCACGGCACAGCCATGTATGTGCCAAGTACGTCAGCCCATTTCCCCCACTCATTTAAAGTATATGGTCCTTCCTCTTCCTTTAGAAAGCTTCCAGGAGTTGAAATTTTCATGCTGTTGCATCAGGATTGTTCAATCATTTCTTTTACATTTTCCAAATATTTGTTGCTCTGACTGGCACATCTTCTTCTTCATTTGGCTATTTCCTGAGAACTCCAGCCACATCTGGGTTACACACTGTGTCCTTCAAATTCAATTCCACAAAATAAGTAATCAAGCATCAGAATAAGCTCAATGCTCTTGGAATTACAAGAAGGTGCATCCCGTACTTCCTGGGACCTCAGCTATTACGGAGGTTGACTTGCATCAGAATCACTGGTTCAGCTGTGGTTGGACAGTGGTGTGTTTTAAGTTCAAAGGCCTGAAAAAGTAAAATGAAAGGCCTACTTGTATCATGCAAGAAATTTGGTACAAAGATACTTGGTACAAAGAAGGAGACAAAACTCTGGCCAGGAATTGGAATACCTACCTGGGTTTTCCCAGTTCTGCTCTTGCTGGCTTTGATTTTGGGTAAATCACAGCCCCGTTCTGTACTTGAGTCCACCATAAATAAAATGGCAATAACAATGCTTGGCCAGTTGTCAGACTGCCAAAGGATTGACAGCAGGAATGGAGTGGGGACCCCTGGCTGGGGGTGAAGAAGAAAGGAATGAGGGAGCAGCAATGGAAGCAGGCCAACTAAAAGATAAGAGGGAGACGGGCTAGCAGAAACTGGGAAGAGAAATAATATCCAAGCAGCACTTCAGAATGAGTCTAGATTGCATCATAAATAGCTGTGGTGTTTTTCCATCTCACAAACTGCTCATAATTTGGGGGAACAGGCATTATTTGTGAAATGAATATAATTACACCTCTTGACCCCTAACAGTTATGACTTGTGCCTGGTCAGCCCGGCAGGCCACACAGTTCCACATATCAGACACACCACACCACCACCACACCAGCATGGCCATAGCCCTTTTCCCTGTGACGTATCCTTTTAGGGCAGGGTCGTCTTCATATTCCCGGTCCCCGACAGAGCAGGCAACTGAGCAAATGTGTTTGATTCTGTGCTCAGTGAATTTTGAAAGGGATTTGGGCCCATCAAATCTCTGGAAAACAACAGAGAAGACACTGTTTGGGGTAGGGTAGGAATAGAATTTTTTGAGATAGGGTTATGACCGTTTCTGGACTTAGATCCTATTTTACAAATTTGAAAAACTACCAACTGGGGGTTAATGGCCCAAAATGAAAGTCAACCATAAAGAAATTTTTGAAGTTTTATTAAATCATTTAGACTTGAAAGAAGTCACAATAGTTAACACACTTAAGTGCGTTCTGTACACCACCAACCCAAATGGATTGAGTTCAGAATTTTTATAAATAAAAAATAAACATATTTACAGTGAAAAAAACATGTTAGCAAGTTAAATGATTAAACTGTTATCTATAATCAGTTTTGGGAAAATACCAAACTATAGGAGTACATATAAGACACTTAAGACTCTGCTAGATTTAAAAAAGTCCATAAATTGAAGAAGTTAGTTGTAATATATGATTCGTTTCTTACTACATCATTTTTCCTCCCCAAACCAGAACGTTTGACCAATGTACATAAAAAGCTTCATTTTTCCTGTATGGGAGGCAAAAGTACAAAAAGCTCTTAAACTCTCCCTAGAACCTAAGGAATAAAGCTATTTAATGCTATAAAAGTCACTATAAAACTAGCTATGGACATAAACCATTATGTAATTTGTGCTACTTGTCCTCCAAAATTGTGCAGATTCCTAATTTACCCACCAGGGACAAAAATGGAGTCAGCTTTTTTCGGAAATCAGTTTCAAAATCACACCGAATCTAGAAAGCATATTTCTAGAACAATATAATTATCACATGTAGGGACTTTCAGTCTTCGGTACTATAAAAATATTTCCATTTTAATCCTCTGCATAATTTTAGGGATTGCTTCTACCTTTCCAGGCAAAAGATGAGGGCTATCAAGGTTGGGCAGGTAGTTTCAAGAGACCAACAAAGAAGGACTACACACGATTTAGTGATAAGTCCTTTCCTTAACCATGGCAAAAATCCAGAGTTGGCTCAAATTAGGCTATGTCCAAAATCTCGTTTCAGTTTGACTTAGAAAAAGTAGTTCAAAATAAAATTGAGCCAATGACAAACTTTTCAAGTCTGCAGTTTTGGAAAGCCATGTTCCTCAGAGGTGGGCTGGAGATGCGAGCACAACTTAAGGCTAATTGCTTGGCAAAGGGATATGGGAGATGCTGGACTGTCTTGTATGTTTTGTTCCTGGTGAACTCAAGGAGCGAGATCTTTGTCTGAGCACTGTTTTTCCTGGAAACTCCAAGTCCTCAAATACAGCATTTTCAATGATGTCTGTAGCTTCAGGCCTTTCCGTGGGTGATGGAGAGAGCATTTCTTGAACCATCGTATACTGAAATATAATAATTGCTTTATGTTAGAAAGGCCAGACTCAGATCACTAAATCGGGAATAAGCAAAACTATTCTGTAAATATATTAAGTTTGTGAGCCAATTTCTGATGCAACTTCTGAGTAGAAAAGCAGCCGGATGATATATAAACAAATGGGCATGGCTTTCAATAAAACTACAAAAGTTTTATTGAAAAAAAATCCAGCAGCTGGCTGGATTTGGTCAGTGGGTAATAAATAGTTCGCCAATCCCTTCTCCAAAGAAACTCGGATTACTTTTGGAGGATTTGTTGTTTCCTAACATAAAGAGTTTTGAGTTACATCCTTGAAATACAGACATTATCTGACCTTAAAAATAAATTCATCTTATGACTGCATGAGAACCTACAATTATCTTAAAAAAATTTCAATTAAGTGAAACTATGGGGACTACACCTGAGGGGGTGGGAGGAAGCAAATATTGTTTAAAAATGAACAATGATGTAAAAAAAAATTAATATTAAAAAATAAATAAAAACAAAAAAATTCAATTAAGAAAATCATGCCAGAGATCAGTACCTACCACTTTTTCTTGACTTTTTTGAACCCTCTCAATGTAACATTTCCTTATGTACTAGTCTCTGGGAATTGATTCACCAACTTCACAAAATTGGTAATAAAATAATTTTTAGTAAAACATATCATTTTTTTAGGCTACCATATGTCAATATTAAAAATTCATGATTTATCAATGTATAAATTTTTAAATGATATATTTGTGGACCAAACATTTTGAAATAAAAATAAAAGCTGCAACAAAGGAACCTTAAAGTTTCATTATATATAATTTTCATAATCAAGATAAATAATTTTTCCTTCCCACTGTTTAAGCCATTTCCTGTGTCACTGAGTGTTGGTATTCAACACACGCAATCAGTTTGTGTTTTTTTTTTTTTTAAAGAAATGTCAGTTTTTAACATCTCTCCCAGTTCACTATGATAAATAAATTAATAACGTGATCATAACGGCAACCCTGTTGTTGTGAAAGCATGCTAGGGGTTCAGCCTTGTTACAGCAAAAGCTGTTACCATTCACACAGGCGGTCAGGAAGCATGGGCCACAGAAGTGGGCTGAGGAACCCGGGCCTGAGTGTCAGTCTTGGTTTTAGCAACTTCTATGCTTTTGGGATCAGGTCCCTTTCTTCTCTAGACCACTGGATTTTCCTTGTTGGTAAAATGGTGAAATTGATAAATTAACTGCTAAGAACCTTTACCTTTTACATGTAATTCTAAGGAAAATAAATAAGGAGAATTATACATACCTCACGAGGGTATTTCTGAGTAAACAGTGGTGGAAATTTTAGATTCCTTACATCAGATAAGATCTAGAAAGAAAGAAGTGTCATCTTTAAATTTATTTTGCTATATGAATCCATTTAAACAAATTTTTTTGGAAAGCTCATCAGTAGCTTTTCCTGACTTAATAATCTATATACAAATGCTTCTTTTTTTCCTCAAGATTTATTTATTTTTGCATACAAGAACTGGAGTGTAGGCCAGAGGTGCGGGGGTAAGAGGATTCACCAGAGACAGAGTGGGGAGCACAACAGGCAGATGCACTGAAATACACTGCTGAGAGGAGCCAGGCAGGAGAGGTCTGTTGCACCATGTGGGTTAGCTGGGGATTGAGGTTGGCTTGATAGCGCTGTGTCTTTAACCCCTGCACCACCAGGGAGGCCCTACAAATGCTTCTTGAGCATAGACACACACACCATCAAATCATCAAAATCTAGAAAATATTTCAAATATAATTATGCTTGAACTGTACACGACACCTGGATTTTAACTGAAAATGAATATGTATCAAAAATAATTCAACCATCCACAAATACACATTTGTGGCCATAGGCAGATAGTTTTATTAGTCTCTAATCTCTTTGATATGAAATAAAGCAAATAAGCAGCACCATAAGCTACAAGGCTCAAACATGCCCTCAAGGTTCTGCAGGAAATCATTTCTGATTTATAATTACACACTTGGCCAATCTATTGATTATTTGTTCTATTTCATTTCTCAAAACTGATTTTTGTCATCATTACAAAAAGAACTAGCAGACACTGGGCTAAATAGTTTGCCTGAATTACCTCATTTTAATTCTCAAAACAACCCTATAAAGTGGATGCTATAATCCCTGTTTCATAGATAAGGAAACTAGAACATAAACAGTAATAATGTGTAAAAATTTCCCAATGTACTTTCAGAATCTTAGTTTTATATTAGGTATTTAGCAAAACGGACTTGGTTTTCTTCACTCAAAAAAAAAGAGTATGCTCTTATCAAAGAGGTTGGAGACTAATACAGTCACCTGTTTCAGGTTACAAATATGTATTCATGAATGATTAAATTAGTTTGATGTGATAACTACATATTTCTTTTACTGAAATAAATTTCACCATTTTGAGGGCATAATTCAGAATTTTTTATTCACAAAGTTGTCAAATTTTCCATTGTGACTGCACAATTTTACATTCATACCAACAGTGTATAAAGTCTCCATTTACTCCATATCCTTGCCAACACCTGATATTTTCAGTTTTTGTTTATCGTTATTAGACAGCGTAAAGTGGTACTCACTGTGGTTTGATTTGCATTTCCCTAAAACATAGTATGCTGTGCTTACTGGCTACCGATATATCTTCTTAGGTGAAATGTCTAAGTCCTTTACCCAATTTTAAATCAGGTAGCCTTCTTATTGATGAACTGTGATGGTTCTTTATACATTTGGGATACTAGAACTTTTTCAGGTAATAACTTATAAATATTTTCTCCCATTCTATGGATTAGATTTTCACTTTCTTTTTTTTTTTTCAAACTTTATTTTTTTTAAGTTTTTATTTATTTATTCATTTATTTATTTATATAAGCACTGGGTACAGTAAGAAGCACAGGAGGGTGAGAGAATTCACCAGAGCCAGAGCGGGGAGCAGAGCAGGCAGAAGGACCGAAGTACACTGCTGAGGGGAGCAGCGGGCGGCAGGAGAGGTCTGTGCGCCATGTGGGACCCTCCTCCTGTGGCGGGGAGCATCTGGGGATCGAACCGGTGCTGCAGAGGCTGCGGGCAGCTTCGCAACCCAGAGCTCAACCGCTGCACCACCAGGGAGGCCCCTGGATTTTCACTTTCTTGATGGCATCCTTTGATGCACTTATAACTACAGAAATGCGGACAATTTGATTCTTAATCTTTTATATATTGGACACGTTTTATTTTCCTTTCTGGAAGATTTTAGAATCTTTATCTCTGGTACTGTGAAATTTAGTCCTTTTGGTTTTAAATCTCCTTGCCCCCCATTTTGTGTACAAAACATTTGGTAGGTCCTTTTAGTTAGAAGATCTGAGTGTTTTGGTTCTTTATGAGAACTACATCCTCATTTACCATGGCCAGGAGTCAACAGAAAAGGTCTAAAACTAATAAAGAAAAGGGCATGAACTTGGGAAATATGAAGGGAAGTACAGCTAGAAAAGCTGAGGGTGAAAGATGGGGAAGAACGTGACAGAGGACTAGTTTTCAAAGAATTTCAGTACTATCTTCTTCAAAAGCCATGATCACGGGTTATTTTAATAGGGAAAAAGCCATGCTTAGTTTCATATTTCAAATGTTTAAGTGTATAGTATGTGGCCACTTGCCATCTGGAAAATCCTCGGCCAACCAGTCTTCTCCACCATGCCCCCATTACCCTGTGGCTCTCTTAGCTTTGCACTTATTACAAATTTACAGACTGTGTAATATTGTTAAGTACAATGAATTTAAGCAACAATAAGGAACAACAATTCACTAAGCCAATTTCTAAAGACAGCTTTACAAGGAAACAGAATGAACAAATCCTTCCTGTATAGCTCACATGACCTCCTCCATTTCTTGTTGACTAGTCTTCTGGTGTTAAAAATAACTTATTCTTCTTTTAAAATGCTTTTGTAAATTTGAGTACTTTCTTTTTCCACCTTTTCTTTTTGGCGGGGGAGGGGGGGAACTTACCCTGATTCTCTCCATCTGAGTGCCAAATGGGTACAGCAATTCAAATAGAATGAGGCCTAAAGAAAAGATGTCCACTTTATGAGAGTAGTTGTTTCCATGAATCTGAAATCGACATAAAGAAATATTAGTAGAAAACTGACAGTGATAATGCAATTGATAATGTGGCATTAGAGAATCCCAATATTGACTTTGTCACTTCTTGGTTTAAATGTAATTTTATGTGTTAGAATGTTAACAAAGAGTTAATCTCTCAAGTCTCTTTTCTTCAACTCACTACAGCAAGAGTAATTAAACTATTCAGCATTACAGAAGGAAAGCCCAGGTATAGCTCTGAGATATGCATCAGTAAAATAAGCCAGGCAGAAACCTGGAGCCTTGCAATGCTAAAAAAGTTTGTGGGAGCCGGTAAAAGCTGCTCAACTACCCCTGAGGTGAAGTTTTTCAAAGCAAACACTATCTAAAGCAAATCTCTCATTTCTAATCATCTTAGTCCTCACCCATTTTTATGAGAAAATCTTCATTACTCCAAACCACTAATCAACTGTGGTTAGCCCTCATTACGGCACTTAATTATGGATTACTTGGCATTCTTAGTTGTATTTTTCATGTGTGTATTTCTTATTCTTCACAACTAGATTATAAAGTCCTTGAGGGAAGGAAACTGCTTCTTTTGTATTCCCACCTTCCAGCATTGGGCTAAATATAGAGAAGACCCTTCATAAATAGTTATTTGTTGAAATGAACAAATGAATTACAACCGAACTACTTGATTACAGGAAGCTTCATTCAAATTAAAAGTGACCTCCTGGGCCTCAGAAGAACCTGTTTTCTTTGTGAAAATTACTTTAGGCACGTAACTTAACATTTGGCTAAAAGACAAAGTAGTGCATCACTTAGGGAAAGCTCCACACAGGCATTTCTTTTTGAGGGGGAATCTCACAAAGTAGTGGCCAGAAATTAGCAGCCTTTCACAACCTCTTCTCTAAACTGCACTAGCTATCTGTCTACCTGGCTCCTTCAGAAAGCCAGCCTGCCAGCAAAGTTCCAGTAGTTGCATCACCTTCCTTTCTCCTGTCCCTGGACTTGGGAAGTATTCAAAGAAAATATGTTCAAAATCAGTTTCTGAGGTTACCATGAAAAGGACACCCTCAAACACTATTTGGAGAGTATCCTCAACAATACCAAACACTCATCAATCTCTTTCTCAGATGGCAACCCTGGCTACACATGCACACACGCATGTGTGTGCACACACATGCACACACCAGTCACAAGTCATACTACTATCAACATAGCAGTCTTTAGTGTGGTTCTCTTTTCACTGACATTCACGTTCATTCACTCACCAAACATTTATGAACACTTGTTGAATACTAGGCATTATTTTAGATGTTGGGGACGGAGTAAAAAACAAGGTTAGGTCCCTATTCTGATAGTTTATATTTTAAAGGGGCAAAAAAAAATTTCAGTTACAAATGCTATGAAAAAAAGAGAATAACGGCACAGACACTGAGGGTAGAGAGAAGGCCATCTCTTTCAAACACAGCTGGGATCTGGTGCGGAGCAGTGAGGATGGTTTCTTCAACTAGTGAGTCCTTAATCCACATGGAATTCATTTTATTTATTCATTCCTATTTTTATTTCCAATACTTAGTGTCAAGGTATATTTCCAGCCTCATGACTAATGATAAAATTTTTAATGCTATTAAAAGCTCTTATTAATTCTGATATATGCCTATGGAGAAAATTTGGAAAATTTCAAAGTCCAAAAGATTATTCAAAGTGCCTTATTCAAATAGCAGTGGCTGCTGAAATTTTGTGGCTTTTCCTTCCAGTCTTGTTTCCTATACATATACATATGTATTTATAGTATTTTGTTACTTCACAAAATTTTAGTTTCTCCTCTCCAGGTCCTGGCCACATCATTTGACCAGGATGATTAAATTACTCAGGCCAATGGATTTTTCTAAAGCCAGTTTGGATTCTTTTGGTTACAAGTGATGGGCTAAAAATAAAAGTTTCTATAAATTAAAATTTCTGCTATCTTTTGTAAATCCTAAACTTATTTATGGCTACTCTTCCAGGTAAATTTGCTCTTAGCGAGGACTGCCTTTTTTATTTAAAACTCTTAAAAATCTATCATAATGTTGTTTTACCAGTTTCAGAGTTTAAGTTGACTGGGCCTTCATTTCGTGGTAATTATAACCAGAGATTACAAACCCATTACTGTTCAGCATCCTGCTGTATCTCACTTTGCTACTGAGCAGAATGCTAGTCGCTTCTGCAGTAATGTACTTCTGTGCTGAAGGTCCTTCAAATAAATTTACCTCCAAATAGAACTTTGATTGCTTCCTATGAATGTCAGGATCTTTCATTTCTTTCTTTATTTTTATATTCTTACTTCATGATCCATCCAACAGATATTTAAATATTAAAAATAGGTGTTTTAAATTTCCAACTAGCCAAAATCAAAACGCTATACTCTTTTTTTGCATTGTGATCAGAGAGACATTTACAATTTCTATGCTTTCAAATACATTGTGGTCTAGAAGTTTGAAATGAAGATATACCTTAATTTATTCACCAATAAATATTCAAATCCCATATAAAAGGCCTAGTACATTTTTCAATCTAGTTTCTTTAACAAAAAAAAAATAACCCAATTTGAGGTTTTCCTTTCCATGGGGAAATTTAAACATATCCATTTATTTATTGTCATACATATTGGCTTTAGCATCATTAAATTTTGTTTTGTGTTTTATATTTCCATATCCTTTCCTTTTATTGTAGTTTGCTTTTTGTCTTCTGCATGATACAGATATTTGTAATTCTATTTGCTGAATTAAGGTTCACCAGTAGAAATCTTTTTTTTTTTTAATTTTTTTTTTTATTTAATAGAGGCATGTTTTATTTATTTATTTGTTTGTTTGTTTTTGTTTTTATACATGCACTAGGTACTCAGAAGCCCGGGAGGGTGAGAGAATTCACCAGAGCCAGAGCAGGGAGCAGAGCAGGCAGAAGGACCGAAGTACACTGCTGAGGGGAGCAGCGGCGGCAGGAGAGGTCTGCGCACCATGTGGGACCCTCCTCCAGTGGCCGGGGAGCAGCCAGGGATCGAACCGGCGCTGCAAAGGCTACGGGCAGCTTCGCAACCCAGCGCTCAGCCGCTGCGCCACCGGGGAGACCCCCACCAGTAGAAATCTTTACACCATCTTTACTTACTCTGTTCTTACCAACTTCCATTTCTTGATCTTTGTTAATTTAATGTGGAAGTTAGAGACCTAGCTTAATTTAAAATTATAAAGCCTTTTTGAGGAACACATTTTAGATTTAACATTAATTTTATATTTGGTTTCAATGACTGGCAGATACGTTTCCCTTCTTAAATTCACTTTCAAAGGTAACACATTCACATGACTCAAAAAGAAATATATAGAAATGTTTCCTTCTCACCTGTCCTTCATCTGCTGTTCTCAGCCTCTTCCCTGCCTACTGCCCCCATCACCATTGTTTGTGCACATCTTTCCAGTTTCTCTCAATAAACATAATAAACACACAGCTATCTTTCCATTCTTTACACAAAAAGCTGTACACAAAAATGCATGTATGCATTCATGTCTACACCTTGCTTTTTTTACTTATCTAAAATGCCTGATTTCTCTGTACCTGAATAACTTCACAACCAAGAACAAGATTCAGGGTCATAGCTGTTTTCTGTCACAATTATACATGCTCCTTAATTCTTCTGGGGGTGAGTGCTATGGAAGACAAAATCTTCAGCTGTAACCTGTTTCCTTGTTCTGAATACTTATACCATGTTTCCTTTATCTTTGAAATTCAAGACATCTAAGCATCCCACAGGGCAACATGTCTGAGTTTATCTACCTCTACTTCCTGCCATGGTAGGTATGTTCTGGAAGTTGCCTGTGCATTACTACAGAGGGCAGCTTAGTACAGTACCCCTGGCTCTTGCAGGCTCTGAAAACAGTTCCCACCTAGTTCACAAAAGGCAGACAGGAGTTAAGTTTGGGAAGGGAATCTTCTAAGTCTCTTTCTACATTTCTGGTTGCTCTGAAGTTCTGGTTCAGACGGCGAGCGTGAGAGTATTTTCGTATGGTGATTATCTGTCTCAATCCATCCTTAATACAGGTTATAGAAACTCGCCCAAGCTGGGTTGCCTGTGTACTACTACTACTACTACCAGTTTTTATAATTTTCAGATTTTATTTTATTGGGTATTTAAAGTAGAACATTGATGGAGGTTTCTGTCTAACTTTCCAACTAAAATTTTATTTTTAATTCAGAGGAAAACAAAAAAAACCCTCACCTGCTCTGGGCTCATATATAGTTTGGTCCCCACTTGGCCTGTGTGTCTGGCATATGCTGGCATTGGTGTCAGTACCAGCTGCTCTTCCTCATCCTGGTCCATTGCAGTCACTAATCCAAAGTCTCCAACCTTAACTACGTCGTCCATGGTAAAGAATATGTTGGATGGCTGGAAAAAATAAAACAGATAAAAGCATAGTAGGTGTGTATGGCAAAAGAGAAAAAGCGAAGAGAATTATTTACATGACCACAGGAAATAAATATAAGAAAGCTGATATTCTTAAGCATGTTTCGCTTTAAAATGGGCTAATATGAAAAATATAAACAATTGTTTAGTGCTAGACAGTATTGTGAGTACGGAAAAGGGAAGGCATAGCCAAGTGGGCTAGCATTTATTGAACATCAATTTAAAGCACTAATTAGAGATTCTCGTTCTCTTGGATCCTGTGTACTTAATCCTTAATCTTACTATATATACATGCGTGTATGTACACACATAAACACACGCATATATACAATCCCTTGGCAAGTTTTTAAATATTTAAGACTTCAGCCAGGATCATGATGATAATAGTAATAATAGCAAATACATATAAAACATTTGCAATGCTTCAGAAGCCATTTTGCTTACTACCATTAACTCATGTAACAGAACCTATTAATCCCTCATTTTACAGATTTGAAAACAGAGACCCAGTTGTTAAGCAAATTGCCCAAGGTCAGCCACTCAGTAACTGGTGGAGCAGAGATTCAAATCCAGGCAGTCTGGCTTCTTACCAACAGGACTTCTGTTTCATTGCCACAGGTCCAGAGTTTAGGACACTTCCTGCGCTGTGGGAGCTAATCACTAATATTTGATGAATGAATGAAACAGATTGATATTTGGGTTTGTATCAAGGAGAGTAAGAGCTTTAACTTACAAACTCATGTTACCTATTCTCATACCCAGATATTATCTGTCTCAAGTTCTAAACTCGCATATGCACTGTTTATAGGATATTTCTAAGCAAATTTCTCACGGGCTCCTCAAACTCATTTCCCTACATGAAACATACTGTCTGAGAACCTGCTAGCCTCTAACATGACCACCATTCATAACCCTTAAATAAAGAAAATGAAAGCCATTTAAGATATGACGTTGAATTTTATCAGGTTTCATATTATTGCCAAATAACATTTTATTCCCAAACTCCAAAATACCATTGTACAATATTGACTTCAAACAATGAAGTCAGTACATATAAGGAAAATCTATAGTAAAAGCCCCTGTTCTCCTACAAATAACCTCGTATTAGACAATAATAACCATGCTGCCTTAAATTTCATATTTCCTCCCCTCTCCCATCTTCTGGTGTCTGTTATTTACTGAGGACTGTAATAGACATCACCCCCTTTTTTTGTTTTGCTCTCCAGCATCTATCCCCTGTGCTTTTACTAGAAGTTTACTCATGACTGTGGGGGAAGTTCTTCCCAACTGTGCAGCAACCCACAATTGGTTCATGTGTAAGTTATCCAAATGTTGCATCCAGGGGTTAGATAAGCCATCAGCATTATCTCATGCTCTGGTGAGGAGACTGGCTGAGGGATGGGTATGTGTCCTTGGCTTATCAATTAGAAAGAAAGTGGGACTTCTGATCAATAATGGGGGAAATACTTTTCTCCCCACCCTCTACCCCAATACTTGCAAAAGACTTGAAACATGTAATGCCTTGAGAATCACTGGCAGCTAACCTGCATAGATGAAGGGGAACCAATGTGAAAATGGAAAACAGGAAATGGGAAGTGGGGGTAGGAAGAAAACAGGTTCAGGGCACATCACTTGATCCTAGATAAAGCTTTACCTGGACACGGTCGCTTCGGTTATAAGAACCACTCAATCTCCATGTCATTAATTTAGTATAAGCGCTTTAGGTTGCAAACAAAAGAATATTCAAAATGAAATGACATGAGTATAAAGAATGTGCTAAGGCTCTAACAGGTGAATATACAGTCAAGCTCCTGCCCCATGGAAACTAGAGGATAAATGGCTGGGGTGTGAGGAGAATCATGAAGGAGAAATACTAAGTTCTGCAAGGACACAACTGAAAATCTTTAAGAAACTGAGAAAAGCCCAGTATGGTTGGGGTTGTGAGAAGAAAAGACTAGAAGTAAGTTGGGAGAATCAGGAGCTGGAGAGCACTAATGACAAGAATTGACCAAAATTGTAAAGGGGGAAAGGGCTTAGGAGATGTAGCATTGCACTCTGAACTTAGTCCAGCATGTAACAGGATGCATAGATTTTAAACTGGGAATAAAAATCTTGGGGGTAATTTTCTGACACACTAGAAATCTTTACAAAGGAATCTTTGAAAGGATTCTGGGAAAAATACAGGGAAAATTCATTCTCTTCTTGAACTTCTTGAAATGTTTTTGGTACATGGATAAACACAGGGAAAATCTTTACACAACATTGAAACATTCAAATATTCACCAATAACTCACTATAAAACTGCAGAAGAATATCCATTCTTACAGAACATAATTACATTGCCTTTCCACTTGGCATTTTGAGTATACAGTGTTAAGTACATATCAGCTAACTGTTTTCCACCAATTGATAAACATTTGCCAACATTCAAATAACCAGCACTCACTTTTATTAGGGCTATCTGGCATCCTAGAATTTGTCTTCTCCCTTCTGACCAAAATAAATCATCTCTGAATTTTACAGAATAATTCCTAGAAATCAGTTTGGGTCAAATCACTGAAGCACGGTGAGTATATGTAGCTCTATAAAGTTACTTTGGGTAACAGAAATTATTTCTATTTCTTGTCCTTGTTATTCCAACTCTTAAAATACAATCAAGGATTTAAAAACTTCCTGTTGATTTAAGAAGAAAATAACTCCCCCAAATAGCTACTCTGATACCTGAAACAAAAGTCTGTGGTTACAGAAAACAAAACTGAAAATACTTAAAATTAGTGCATTCTCTCAAAGATTTGTTACTTCCATGAGAAAAATATTTATGTATTCATTACTGATGACTATTGTGAGCCCATGGAAGATGGCAGAAATTAAATAACTGCACGTCTTAATAAGAAGCTTATGCAATTTAGCACATATAGTTAAAATATTCAATACAGCTTATATTAAAAATAGAATCAAAGGTTTTAGAGCAGCAAACTAATCATTGACCATCTTTCTCCATTCAGTTTCTCGCCCCTTCCCCTAAAGTCTAAGCACCAGTTCAGGAATTTGGGACAAAAAGTGGAGATATGCCTCAAATTCAGAGCTGGCTAATGAGGAACACATCTCTCCCGTCACTCTGCTACTGTGGTGCCTTCAGAGAACTGTGTCAGGGTTACTCAAAGTCACAGAATAATAGGATATATCTGCTCGTGGCAGATTTTTTTTTTTTTTTTTCATTAGGATTGGGAATACTTTTTACTGTAAGACGAACATAAACACATTCTAGAGGAGAATGCATGATCTGCCTAAAGCTCTCAGAACATGAGACCTCTTATTTCTGTCATAACCCCCTCCAGGCTACCTTCCCAGACCCCTGCTCCTCCACTGGTAGGTACTTCAGTGAGAAACTGACAAGGACAAGCACCGCTCACAATCCCAGCTGCAGACTGAGACGTGGTGATAGGCCACAGGTACAGACCTTAAGGTCCCTGTGCATGAGCCCTTTGCTGTGCAGAAACTCCACCGCTTCGGCGATCTGCAGGAAAATGTGCAGACACACGCTTCTCTCTCGCTCCTCTATGGTGCAGCGGCTGTTCATCCAGTCTTTGAGGTTTTCCTTTCTGCACAGCTGCATCTGAATATAAAGATAGACCTTCGGTGAACTGGGCTGGAGTTTGTCTGCAGTGTTTTTAGTGAGATCTAAACTTAAAGTGGTTGGTCTTGGAGGAGAAATAGACAAAGTTGGTTCAGAAGAAGACTTGCTAGTGGAATGCTTGAGAGCAGTGAGTTTATTAGCATAATGGCTGCCAATACGCAGTCGGTTAGTTTTAAGTTCTTCTTTACTGGATGCATTATCACAGCCAGAATCTTCAAATACTATAGAAGATGAGGTTCTCTCCCTTACAAAAGGAGAGGCTTCAGAGGGACAAAGTTCAAAGGAGTGCCCCTCATCATTGCCATCCAGAGTCCCATCTTCCACATCACAGTCCGCGAGGCAGCTGTCGGGGAGGTTGCACACTCCACCCACTGACTCACTGACATCTCTGTGGTCTGTTTCTGAAAATTCCAGTGGAGAGAACTGGCTCTCGGATGAACTTGTCTGGCCACAGGAAATCCCTACTGAAAAAGACCTGCTTCTTCGTGGTGAAGGATCTATGATTTCAATATGTTCCTTTGTAGAGAAAGGATCCATTCTGCGTATTTTAACAGATGGTGCATCCATTGGGCTAGGAGAGCTGATGGGCCAGTCTGTGCTGCAAGTGGCAGAAATGCAAAGGGAAGAGGGTGACTATGTGCTAATGAAATGATGTACACAGAACTCTCTGGTTTAAAAGCTTCAACAATAAAGCCAGTTACCAAGTGACAACATACAGCCCAGATTGAAACATGCTATATGACACATAGAGCACCATCTTCCTTCAAAAACCTTAATCTGAAAGCTTAATTTTATACTTGAAATAAACACACCAGGGCAGCCAAGATCTTTATGCAAACAGCATACAGCTCATGGGGCCTTGAGACCAGTGGCCATTTCTCTGGGTCCTTCTTTGACTGTTTGGCTCGTGGCTGAGTCTATGAAAATGTCACAATATCAAGGACCCTTACATGGAGCCAGGCAATTTTAGGCAGTAAGTCTACACTCTTTGTCCTCTTTTAGAGCATTGAATATTTAACATGGGAATTGTCTTCAAGTTGCCTAGCTTTGTGTATTTTAAACTTGAAATAATTTAAAACTACTTTCAAAAGGAATTGTAAACTGTTAATGAAGAAACCAAGTAAAAAGTTAAAATGGAGACACAAAATATCTACTATTTTATCTAATTGAGAAAAGCCATTGTAAATTCCTTGGTGAACTGTAATTCATGGAGCCCTGTCCACTAATAAGTATAAAATTCATATTCGGGGGATAAAAGGAAAAAACTCATGTTGTAAAAACTAAATCAACTGTCACTTAACAAATGGCTAGAGAAGATTCCAAAACATGAAGACAGGGAAAAGAAATCTGCTATTTTTCTTTTTGAAACAAGCATCTCTAAATTTATAGAAATGATATTTTGTTTCAAGAAGCAAAAAAATGAGCCTGAAAGAAAATACTAGCTTTTAAATTCTATGTTTAACAATGTTACCTTTCATCTTTCAGCCAGATTTCATCCATTTTTTCTTGCCACTTTTCTGGTGGTGCTTCCAACCAAGCATTGAAATATCTAACTATTCCTGGGTGTTCAAGCTTGGCTAAGGCTTTAACTTCTCTCATTACCTTTTCCCGAGCCAACTCCCTGAAATAGAGTGAAAAAAGAAGACATTGAAGGTTGCTCAGACCTGAAGAATTAATCAGATCCAATAGCGAAAAATAATAAACTAAAATTCTTCTCTGAGCCTAAAATAGAGGAGTTAGCCTAGTGGCATAATTCTAAAATGACAGACAGTAACGCTCATATTTAAGAAACAAAACCATGTATTTCAGTACTTTTTATTCTTCTAGAATTAAGTGCTACAGACATATCTATCATTACCTTTGCCTCATCCAAAGGAAGATTTCTTGACTGACTAAAAACAAAAGGCCACACACCCTTAAAAAAAAGACTGTTTAATGTTTGCTTAGCCATAGGAAGTGGATGTGTTTAGAATAGAGAGCTCAGCATTGTAGCTGATGGGTGCTGAGCTGGAGGAGATGGACAGATGGAGAGCCACAAGCCCAACAGTGCACATATTACAATCCAAAAGCAGGCTTGGCTGCTTGCTTGTTTAAATGAAGCCTCACTTACAGAATATCACAGGCAAGGAAGTTAAAAGCATCTAGATTTGAACTTATGCTTTTACATCTTTCTGAAGGAGCTAATCTCCCATTTCTAGGAATCTCACCATCACCTGAAACAACATAATTTTAAGTTATATCCTCTTTCCTCCCCAGGAGATCAGTCACTCCCACTTTCCCCCTTTATACTCTCTGGGACTTCTGGTAACTTCTTAAAATTCTTCAACCTCTGGGACTCCACATTCTGTCACCAAATCCTATCAGTTCCCTCTTCTTGAATCCCTTGCATGCATTCCTTTCTCATCTGTCCTCACTACTGCTACACTGTGTCTTAGGACTGAACTTGTGCAAAAACAAAATCCAAAAATCTATTGAGGGCCTCCCCCGTGGCGCAGCGGGTTGAGCACCACACTGTGAAGCTGTCCGCAGCCTCAATTCCCAACTGGCCAGGAAGAGTCCCACATGGCGCGGCAGACCTTTCCTGTCTCGCCCGCTGCTCCCCTCAGAGTGTATGTATATCGGTCCATCTACCTGTTCTGTTCCCCGCTCTGTCTCTGCTAAATCCTCTCACCCTCCTGTGCCTCTGGCCTGTACCCCAGTTCTTGTATAAAAATAAATCTTTAAAAAATCAAAAACAAAACAAAACCCAAAAATCTATTGAACATTCTTCTCTCACCCTTTGTTCTCTGGAGGTGCATACTTTCTCCAGAGCCACCTCCACATTGATCAGGTCATTCTTGTGTTCAAAGACCCACCTGTCTAAGGAATAAAATCCAAATTCCTTTGCTTGGCATTTAAGGTGTTGCAACCCATCTTCCCCATCTTCTCTTCCATACTCTGCCATCTTAACTCTCTGCTGTATCCATGCCAGGACACTTGCCCTTGCACAGGCCATTGGTCATCCCTCCCCTCCACGTTTGTCTACTGAGGGACCGGCTGCTTTTGATCACCCAATGCAGGTACCACTGCCTCCACACACAGCTGGTTTTCATGAAATGCCTTTGGCTATGACTGCACTTTCTTCAAGAGAAGCTATTTATTAAGCTAAGCCACAAGTCGCAATTTTTCTTACATTATTATTTGAACACACACACACACAAACACAATTCTAAGCTCTTGAGAAGCCTTGTTAAATCTTATATCCTCTGTGATGCCCTGCACATGACTATTTAAAATCCTCAAAAATTATCTACCAAAAAAAAAAAGCATTAGTTCCACAGCCCTCAACCCACCCCACTCCTGTGTCCCTATCTGTTGGTCAGAACATTTAACTACCAATTAGATGGTAGCTCAGCAATTACTATACAGCTAATCAAGAATCTAAACAGACTTTCTACAATAAATGAAAAGGAAGATACTCTGAAAGCCCATCATCTTAATCATCACTCAATTCTAAGCTACAAATAGGAATCTATCCTGAGAAAACAAATGTGGTTAGCAAAAAAACTTATACAAAAGATAAACATTGCAAAGTTATTTTTGTACATGATCTTAAAGAAAAGGTTTGAGAGGTGATGCAAAGTTATTTTTAAATTGAACAAATTAAAATATTAAATGTTTAACAATAAGAAACAGTTAACAAAATATTGCATAAGTATAAACTATTATAAAATACTCAGTATTCAAAGTATTTTTAGCACTTTAATAAACTACTCTTAATGATATAAAGATTATATATGACAAAGTATACAATAAATAATATTGTATTTTATTGATAACTGACCTATCAATTAGGTAAATTTTTGACCAGAAAAAAAAAAAAAAATCCAAAGAAAGATACCCTAATGTGAGTAGGATAACTATTGGGTAGAGAACACAGAGATGGTTTTTGTTTTAATACTTTTCCTTATTTTTCACAATACATGCAAGTTATTTTAAATGACTGTATGTATTAAAGTTTAAAGTTGTTATAATTTGCTACAGGCAAGTCTGAACTGTTAGGAATCAAAAACAAGTACAGATTCTTAAAGTATATGTAAAGTAGCCAAAGTAGATGACACTTTTCAGAAAGCATGTTACTTAGAATGTTGTCTATCATCTCTATGGAGTAGATGATAAGAAGGACATGTTGCCTAAGAGATTAGATAAGGCAGAACTAATTCCAAGTTTGCTGCAAGTACCATCCATTACCTGTTGGGGAGACGGATTCTCTTGATAGCATAATTGCAATCATCTACTTTGTTTCTAGCTTCAAAGACGACTCCAAACCCACCACGACCCATGCACTGAACTGGTTCAAAATCTGTTAGATAGCTTAAAAAAAAAAAAAAAAGGTGATTTTTAAAGTCAAACATTTTGTAGTTAGATAATCATCATGTATTCTATAATGATAATCATCAGTTCTATTTCATATAAACTCAATACATCTCATAGAACTTAAAGAGTGTAGTTTGAATTCTAATAACATTCTTCTGTTTATATACATGTAGCAAGCATATTCTAATTTTTCCCCTAAAAAAGATTAAAAATCAACAAGTTCCTGCTTAACTGGGGAATCGTTTGTTCTTACAGCAACTGTACCACTAACCTGGCCTATCCAGCACTTTTCATCATCTACCAGAATATTCTATCCTCAATTCTCTAATCTTTTGTGCTTGTCCCGTGACTTTTTGTGCTCAATTAGATAATGTATTTTAATCTTCTGTCAATGCCTATAAAATTTTTTGAATATTTAATCAGTACTTTTTTTAGCCAGAACTCTTCCTAGAAACCAAAGTTGTCTGAAATTGGCTGTGATGCCTCATAAGTCAGCATGCTGATCATGGGAGGTATTCAGACTGAAGCTAACTCACCACCTGTCAAGTACAGCTGGATCTCCACACTATAGCCAGCCTCTTCCGACAGGCCTGTCCTCACTGCTCTGCCCTGTATATTCCAGTCAACTCGCACCAGGCTTTCTCACAACTTTAAGGACTTGATTTCTACTGCTTGCTCTACAGGATGACTATTTCTGTAACAGGGTGGTCCCCAGGAAAGGGGGAGGTTCCCTGCCCCACCCAAGGGAGGGTGGAGCTGAGCAGGAAGAGGAGAAGCAGAAGAAGAGACTGAGGAAGGAAGGAAGCAGGATGGAGCCAGGAGACCTGGAGGAGGCGCATGGAGCCTAGAGACACGTGAAGAAACTGCGCTTGTCTTTTGGTCGTGGACTGGGTGACACAGATGTGGGTGAGACCTGTGGGGAGGTGACCATGGCAGCTTTTATCTTGATGTTGATTTTGCTCTTTTCCTTCCGGGCTTGTCCGGTTGTTTGTGACCCTTTGCTGTGGGTCCCCACTGGAAGATGCTTTAGACTTGTGGCAGGCTTTGGGGCCTTGTTCTGGGCCGATCCCATATGGATGGACTTTTACCCACGAGGAGATGGGTAACTTTGGGTGCTTCATTTAGAAACTAGACTCTTTGCCTTACCTGTGTTGTTTCCTAGTTTTATTAAAGTTCCTTCCCATTAAAGTCTCCTATGTTTTGTGTTGATGCGGCGGATGGCAGAACCCATTTAGAATAGGCAGGTTTGCGGGGTTTGGGCTGACCCTCTCCCTGTCCTATAACATTTCTTTGTACTTAACAAAACTATTCTTCCTTCTGCTCTTCTTACCACCTCCATAAAGCTGTCTTAAACCCCTATCTTAATGTTCTCATAGCAATTTGCATGTAGTTACTGAACTATTTAAACAATCTCCATATTTTGCAGTTGTGTATATGCAGCTTACTCTTTCCCACTGCCACTGAACTATGGATGCCTTGAATGCAGAAAAGCATTCCTGTTTCTCTTTGCAGTTCCAGACCCTGAGCTTACCCAGCAAGCAAGAAGGCCTAACAGATATCTGTGGAACAATACAAGAATTAATAAATGAATAAATGCATACATGCCATATGGAAGTTATTCTTTCAGCCATATGGGGTAGATTTGAATTAGATTATTGTTGGTGCCCCTTATAAGGCTAAGTTTATTACTTTATGACTATAAATAAATACTAATTTATTAGTTGGCTCAGCTGGTTAGAGAGTGGAGTTAAGAAGGAGAAGCAACAGATCCAACTCTCCATGGGCCAATTACCTTCATAGAGAATGAAGAGTAATAATCTTTATCTCTAAAAATAGCTAGCCAAGGTACTTCAGTACAAATCTACCTCAACAGCAAAAACCCATGAAGTTCATGTCCTTCTTCTAAAGGGCCAACTGAATTATTTTCCTCTATTAAGGAAAACACCCATATGAAAATGAATGTATCCTCTGAAAGAGAAACATCTTACATATGATTATAGACCATACATGTAAGTATTATCTTGCTTAAGGGCCCAGCTGATAAATTACAAAGTTGGGACTTTGACTCAAGACTGAATCCAGAGCTCATCCTCTGGAACACTATGCTTAGAACATAAAGAGCACTTAATTAACATTAGGTATCATTACAGAGCTCCTATTTTTTTTTTTTAAGATTTATTTATACACACAAGAACTGGGGTACAGGCCAGAGGTGTGGGGTATGAGAAGATTCACCAGAGACAGAGTGGGGAACAGAACAGACAGATGTACCGAAATACACTGCTGAGGGGAGCAGCGGCTGAGTCAGGCGAGGTCTGCTGTGCCATGTGGGTAGCTCCCTGGCCGGGGATTGAACTTGTGCTGCAGTGGCTACAAATAGCTTCATAGGTTGCATCTTAACCCCTTGAGCCACAAGGGAGGCCCACAGAGCTCCTATTTTAAGAACTAGCTGTGCTCTTTATATTGAATAAAGTTAAAGAAAATTAAATTGAATTCTATTATACAGTACATACTCCAATTCTTTTCATAACAGCCTGAAAAATATATATTAATTACCACATGCTACTTCTATTCCCCGCCACCATACCTGTCTAAATCTTACTTATAACTTAAGGTTCAGTTAAAATGTGACCCCATTCATGACATCTTGAATCATCACAACAGTCACTTAATTCATGGTCTTTTTCTTGTATGTTTATGTTTAATTCAGGATTTACCTTTCTCCATAGATTTTTAACTCCAAAATAGGCTCAGTATTTTCATTTTTCCCCTCAAAATAAAAAATGTGTCCTGCACATAGTCATTCAGAGTAAAAGGTGAGTGAACAACCAACAGAGATCCTCAGGAGTGGGTGGCTATTGTTGGGTCCCTCTCTCGCCACCTGCTGACGTCACAACCACTGACCTATTAGTCAGCATCTCCATTAGCAATGGTATTAAAACTCTTCCCATTTGTTATCACCTAGTAAATTCTGTGTTGGGAAACTAATAGATAAAAGAAATTGACTACAACCAATTCTCAGTTTTTGATAATAGAGTAAGATAAACAGCAGTGATAAAAATTAACCATAAACAAAAGCTTGACTAAGTTAAATCCAACTTTGATCAATTAAGTCCACAGAAAACCAAACTATTATACAAACTACCACATATTTTAGCTGTTATTTTCAATCTTTCCTATCATAAAACCATTACCTTCCATATTGAGCAGTAATGTTCTTTATCTTTTCCTTGTACCAAGAAGATATCAAAACAAATGGGAAAAGGAGCAATAATCCATGTAATATGATAAATGAACCATAACACCCTTTCTTGTTCCATGAAGCATCAAAATCTGTACACTTGACAGACTACTAACTTTTATTTTACTTTCAAATTATCTGTATTGCCTAAGTTTTAGGTAATCCACCTTCCTCTTCTGATTTAAAAAATAATCTATTCTACTGGTATATTTCCCCCTAATTTTCTATTTCTTATTCTAGACAGAATAAAGAAGAAGTGAATAATTGAGGATTAAACTGCACCTGGAGATCCATATCACACTCTTCTGACACAATAATTATTAGTTAGTACCAATGCCAAGTTTAGTGCCTTGTAGACCCTCAGTAACTAAATTATCTGAATAAGAACTTAATTGGGAAGTTGAAATGCTTAAACTGCTGTAACAACCTACTTATATCCCCCTTAGGGTACGAATCACTTTGAAAAACCTTAAGTTACTTGAGGGCTAAGTCTATATTCTATTTACCTAGATATTCACACATTAAAAATAAAGAAAGAAACAAGATTTTAGTTTAGAGACCATTTCTTTTTTGATTCAAACAGTTGCTGCCAGAAACTATAACATAGTATGACTTACCGTGACACATATCCAGAATTTTTTATGTCACTGCTGGTACTGTCACTAGCTTCTCCATTTATAGAATCATATTTACTTTCAGTTTGACACTGAGTTTCAGATTCCTTCCTTTGCTGTTAATGTGGGGGGAAAAAATTACTAGCAGAACAATGTTGAATTGAAGTGAGCTAACAATTATAAGCAATAAAATAACATTGAAAAATAAATTTAAAACAGAGAAAAATATAAACATTAAAAGGACACATAATACACATAATAATTCCCTTGTCAAAGGAAAGTGGAATGGTCGGGTGCAGACCAGATTGCAGTGGGTTGAGGAGTGAATGGGAGGTAAGGAAGTGGAAAGGAGGGCATGGGCAGCAAAGATTTTTCTGCCACCCACCACATATACCCAATACATTTTCTATACACCCAACACTGAAATAAATTAGATTCTGAAAAACATCTTACTCTGTGAGGATGAGGATGGAAAAGTCTGCGCACAATAAAAGTTGTTGCTATAATACAAAAAAGAATAGTTCCAACTATTTCTTTCCACCAGTGTAAGAGGAGAACTGGATCCTTTTTGCGGATGTTCTTATTATAACTGGGGTTTTCGAGAAATCTGACAGTGATCTGGGTGCTCCGTTTGCTCCTTTCTCTCTTGTAGTATGGGAGATAGTAACCATTATCTTAAAAAAACAAACATTAAAAGTTTTTTTTTTAAAAGATCCACCATGTAGATCCACCTTTAACTGTTCAAAATTACCTATTTTCCTATGCCTATAACACTAATTTACTTTCTTAAAGTTTCATCTCCAACACATTTCTCATTTTCATTTATCTTTTTATTTGCTACACAAATATATTTTTCTATATTCCATTAAGCATCTTAAATTTTCTTTATATTGAATAATAAGACTAGAAAAACAGCTTCAGAGTGGCCCCATTTATTACATTAATAACGCAATACTTTAAATGCAAGAAAGAATTAGATAACACTAAAACTTCCTTCAAGGATTTTAAACTTCTCTTGCATTTAGCATCAACAGAATACCAATTTTACAATTAATCATTCTTCAAAAGGTGAAAGAAAAATATCTCCATCTTGTTCTTTGGTTCATTTCAGGCTGTCAAAATGAGTTTGTCTTTAAAAGCAGTCTTTCTTGGGCCTCCTTGGTGGCACAAGGGATTAAAACGCAAACTATGAAGCTATCCGCAGCCACACAGAATGAGTTTGATCCCTGGCCAGGGAGCTACTTACATGGCACAGTAGGCCTCTCCAGACTCACCCGCTGCTACCCTCAGCAGTGTACTTTGGTCAATCTGCCTGTTCTGTTCCCCACTCTGTCTCCTCTCACCCCCCACACCTCTGGCCTGTACCCCAGTTCTGTATGCATAAATAAATAAATCTTAAAAAAAAAAAGCAGCCTTTCTTGTCTTCTACATCTATGTCAAAGACTGCTATTTCTAGTTCAAAGTTGTGTGCTTTTTATCAATTTAAATTCTACAATAATTACTTTCCTACTAATTTTCCCTGATAGAGGACAAAATGAAAACAACCTCATTTTATAGCATTTTCATATAGCTTTATGAGAAAAATCTATTTTCTTCATTATACAGGCCAATATTATATCACATATGTGACAAATGAGAACTAATAACATGAATAATGCTTATTGAACACTTACTGTTTGCCAAGCAAGATGCTAATTAAGCTTATATGTGCATTATCCTATTTAGACCTCATAGATCTATCTCACAACAACCTGATAGATATTAGGTTTACAATCCTTGATTTATAAATAAAGGCACCGAAACACAGGGCAGTTAGGTATACCCAGCCTTGGATGTGGCAAAACTGGGATTTGAACTTTGGCAATTTGACCTTGGAGCTTGCACCCCTGGGCGACAATGCTGCCTTCCATATTTTATTTTCTACCATCCAACTGACTATCTTTCATTTGAATTCTATTAAGTTCAAATTAATAAATTAACAAATAAATCCCAGCATTTCAATCCAAGAGTGATCATACTTACCATATGGATACTGCAGGATTGAAAGTGCACCGTTACTGTACTCTTCATGAGAAAACTTATCATTACTAAGACATTTGTCAAATTCATCAGATCCGACTAAGACAGGAGTTCTGGAAGGCGAATCTAAAACAAAATAGTAAAAATTAACTGTGGTAACTTTAATGAAAATGCATGTACTTCATTCATTCAAACAACAGATATCCAAACACAGGTCAGTTCAAATACATAAGTCAAACAAATGGCTCAAGGCTCTCTCCCTTGAAAAGCACAGTCTTATACAGAAGGTGAGTCACTTAAATAAATTAAAGTACGATATGACGAGATAAAAAACATACACAAGATATAGAAAGACAACTAAAGAAATTTGTGGCTTAATTACTTAAATTCAAGTGTCTCAAAGAATAAGATGAGATAACCAGATTTTTCATAAATATTCTTCATATCAACACATTAAGTGACAGGCATGGTTGTGAAAGGGTAAGAGTTTGTCTAAGTTATGTGGAGAAACATTTTATTAATGTATTCAATAGAAGCAATTGCTCCTTCAATAAAATCATGTTCTAAATGATCATTAAAATTCATTAATATTTGAAATATATTCCAAGTTTATCAAAAAATAGAGTATATACTAGTTGTAGTCTCTGCAGTATTTAAAACTATGATAAAGACAGTCAGGATTAAGTTTATGAACACCTTAATCTTTACAAAAGTTTATAATTCACTTACGAATTAAGGGTTTCCATTTGATTGTTGGCAAAGGAATAATAGAATTTTCATTATTAACAGATTCTAAGGCCTTGGGATTTGTAGGAAACTTTTCTGAAATTCTGACCGATGATTGTAGATACAGCTGCCCTCTGTACATTCCTAAATCAACCAGAACATTGTTATTTAAGTTTAGAATCAAACACCTTGATTTCTTTTCAAAAAAGGTTTATTTTGATTTAATCAAAATAAATTTAATTCCAGTTATATTGCATCATAGCTCTTTTCAAAGAGTTCACACCTGAAGCAATCAAATTTGATAGAAGATTTTTTTTTTTTTTTTTTATTTTTTAATTTTTTTTTTTTATAGAGGCATGTTTATTTATTTATTTGTTTGCTTGTTTGTTTGTTTGTTTGTTTATACATGCATTGGGTACAGTCAGAAGCGCGGGAGGGTGAGAGAATTCACCAGAGCCAGAGTGGGGAGCAGAGCAGGCAGAAGGACCGAAGGACACTGCTGAGGGGAGCAGCGGGCGGCAGGAGAGGTCTGCGCGCCACGTGGGACCCTCCTCCGGTGGCCGGGGAGCAGCCGGGGATCGAACCAGCGCCACAGAGGCTGCGCGCAGCTTTGCAACCCAGCGTTCAACCACTGCGCCACCGGGGAGGCCCTGATAGAAGATTTTTTAACAAAAAAACAGGGGAAAAGTTAAACACAAGTTCACACTGTATTTCTCACCAAATAATAGCACATTTCTGAAATGACTGGCAAAATCTTCCAGTAGGAAAATTCCTAAATAAGTGACTGCACTCTAAAGAAACACAGTTTAGGCTAAATAACTTTCTCCATGAGGAAATGTAAACATCTATAATTTCAGAGATAATGCTAATTGTTAAATACCATCATTACACATATAAGGCATGTTATTCTTTTGAATTCTTAAATTTTACTTAACTTGAGGGGTGAGTAACACAGTGAAAGAACTTGGAGAAATTTGTAAGTATCTGACCACCAAAACTAGTTCAAATAATTAGATTAGAAGGCTTTCAAAATATATTATAGATCTTCAATTGCCCAGAAATGCAACAGAATTTTGCTTTTATTTTCTAAATAAGTTGTACAAATGCATAGGAGAAAAATAATTTCAAGGGGAGGGCAAACAGATATAGATGCAAAATTAAACATAGATAGATTTAGATTTTGAGGATATTTAAGTAATTTAAAATCATGTCCTATAAGGAGAACATTTCTAAGCCTCTCTAATATAGGTAGCAGAGCAAAAGAATATGCTGTAGTAATTTAAAGCTTCAGAATTGGAGAAACGGAAAATTAGTAGGAATGAAACACAAAGTATAAATCTTTAGTATAACCCAAGTCGAAGAATATATATATATATATATATATATATTTTTTTTTTATAGAGGCATGTTTTATTTTATTTTTATTTATTTGTTTGTTCATTTTGTTTATACATGCACTAGGTACAGTCAGAAGCGCGGGAGGGTGAGAGAATTCACCAGAGCCAGAGCGGGGAGCAGAGCAGGCAGAAGGACCGAAGTACACTGCTGAGGGGAGCAGCGGGTGGCAGGAGAGGTCTGCGCGCCATGTGGGACCCTCCTCCGGTGGCCGGGGAGCAGCCGGGGATCGAACCGGCGCCGCAGAGGCTGCGGGCAGCTTCGCAACCCAGCGCTCAACTGCTGCGCCACCGGGGAGGCCCACGAAGAATATATTTGTGAAATAACACCACTGTGGGCATGACTGAGTAGAAAGAACAATGTAGAAATATAATCTGGATGTCCATGTGTACTGTCATAGGTAGGAACATCTACCCACCCAAGTAAACGCTATTCTCTGTGGCTCCTCGGGCAGCTTCTACAATGTCTTCTTCATCTTCTAAAACTCCATCATTAGATGTATAACTGGTATCATCAAAAAGACTGATGGGAATGACTTTGCCATCCTTAACCAACCAGGCAGACGCAATTGGAGTACAAAACTAAACAAAAACAGAAGAGATTTTTAAATAATTTCAAGCAGTATTTATATAGCTTAAACTCCTAAAATACTACTTAAAATCACATATTTCTTTTTTAATTTTAATTTTCCAAGCATATTATATACAAATAAAATGTATGTATTAGCAGGGTACAATGTGATGTTAACAAATCCAAAGCTAGTTAACAAATCCATCATCTCACACTGTTTCTATGCGTGGTGAGAACATTTATGGTCTATTTTGCTCATTTCACCATGTGTAAGTAAATCAAATCACCACACTGGACACCTGAAATGTACAGTTTTTGCCAGTTATACCTCAATAAATCTACGGAAAAAAAGGTCTATTCTTTCAGCAAATTTCAAGTGTGTACTACAGTATTGTTAACCATAAGTCAACATTCTGTACCTTATATCTCTAGAACTTCTTCATCCTGCATAACTAAAACTTTGTACCCTCTGACAAACAATTCCTTACTTCTCCCACCCCCAGCCTCTGGTAACCATTATTCTACTCCCTATTTTTATGAGTTCAACTTTTTCACATTCCTCATGTAAAAAAGATGGTTCAAAGTTCATCTTTCTGGGCTTGGTTTATTTCATTTAGCATAATGTCCTCCAGGTTCCTATGTGTTTTGGTAAATGACAAGCTTTCCTTTTGAGAGGCTGAATAATACACACAGCATGTTTTAGTGAATAATACACACAGCATGTTTCCTGTAACCATTCACCCACTGGTGGACACTTATACTAATTTCTTATCTTAGCTATTGTGAATAATATTGCAATGAACAGAGAGGTACTGCTATCTCTTTGTTGATGGATTATTAGATCATACAGTGGTTTTATTTTTTTAATTTTAAAAAATCATGGAAAACAGCATTTTCCACAGTGGTTGTACCAATTCATGTTCTCAACAACAGGCACAGATATAATGTTTTACACTGTTCATTAACATTCTCACCAATGCTTACCTTCTTTTTTTTTTTTATGTAACAGCCATTCTAATAGGTATAAAACCACATTTTTTAAAGCACAGAAAGCAAGTTGAGAATTCAAAATGAGAGTCATTTCCCTCTACCCAATAATATCAATCCAACTGAGAAAAAAAGAAAACTATTTATAAATTTAGTGGTTAGAAGTACCTGGTATTCCCATTCTAGATGTCCTCCCTTCTTATTAAATGCCATAACTTTCCAATCAGCAACTGAGACCTTTATCACTGTATCCATCATGGCAGCTTCCTGTTCTTCCACATCTGAAATAATTTTGGACTCTTCTTTGTTCCCACTGGGTTTTAAGGTGCTTTCAATAAATCCGGCTCTAGTTTCCATGTCTGGAATATACCGAAGTTCAAAGTGGCCAACACTGAAATTCCACCTTAAATTTACAAAGGCGTGTTTTAGAATTTTACAATTTAAATAAAAGGACCAAATAATAAAGAACTCTTCTAGACTGAAGAAGCAAACACTAAAATTTTGTGACAAGAAAAAAAATAACTCAAAACAAACTTTTAGAAAGTACTCTGCAGATTTATGCCACAAGAGGGCAGACTTTTGTCCTGACCTTTTAGAAACAATTGTTCCCAGAGTTGTGAACTGACACAGCTAAGGGACAAATTCTAGAAAATTAACAAATGGTCACATTTCCAAATCAGAACAATTTATTTAAAGCACATTAACTTATCTTAAAGTGAGGTAGGATGCAGTCTGACTTACCTCCAAGTCTGGGTACATTTTATTCGAGTGCAGAAAAATGAATATATCACAATAAGACAATATAAAAGGCAAATCATGAATTTGAATGTATCAATTTATAATTTATATGTAAAACACGGCATGAACAGCAATATGGCCAAGGATACCAGACCTGAAGGTCCTACCACATCAGCTCCAATCTTGGATTTCTACTGCCTGAGATCTGCCAAGTCATTTAACCTTTTGAGTTTCAGTGTCCTTGTCCACAAAACATCAGCAATAATGTTTCCTCTGAATTAACATATAGAAAAAGCACTTAACTGTTGATATATAATGTTTTGTCACTTAGAAATAAAATGACCTAAAGAATTCTGTGTTAAAAATATGTGTTAAAAATATGTCAAGAACAAGGATCTGAGACCCAAGACTATTCCTAACTGAGCACACAGCTCAGTCAAATGCTTAAGGAAACAAACAAAATCCCACCAAGCTAAAGAAAGTCAGGTTGCCATTTGATGAAAAGCACCATGCACTGTTCAGAGAATGTAGAAAGAATACATTCTTAACTGAGTTTAAGAAAACAAGTTTCAGGAAACTGAATTACATTACATTATAAGTTTCAGGAAACTGAATTACATTACATCAGATTAGACAAAATCTGAAAGTCTGGTTCACTTTCAAAAGATAAGAGGTGGGATCTAAAATTATTTTTACTGCATACGCAAGTTTAAACTTAAATATTAGCATTAAAGAGTCAAATATGTGGTTTAGGAACATCATATCTAACTCACTCATCTTATTTTTTGTAATCACATATGTAAATTAAAAGTTTACATAAGTAATTCATTACTTTAAAAAGGAAGCAAAAAGTTATTTGGCCAGAAAAGTACTTTAATAGACTAAAATGTTTTTAAATTGGAGTAGTCAGACAAACTAAGAAACTATATAGTAGGGAGAACTGTAGGCCAAAGTTGAAATAAAAAGCACAGGAACTCTGCCTTGAGAGTTTTTTGCATTCCAAGAATTTTGACCAATGAGCCTGCTTTGAGAAATATCATTAACCTTGGACGAAACTAATAGTAGACAGTTTCTGGGATTCCTTCTGGTTACCATATCCTAAAGCAAATTTTGAAAGTTCAGTTCTGAATGTAAAGCCCTTTTAAACTTAGGGTCTAAATTTCTTCTAAGAGCAGTATGCTTTTAGGGCAATACATAGTTCAGAAATTTTTCATAAAGAAAAATCCAAAGAGTTATGGCTTTGTGCTTCTAAGTATCAACAGCAACATTATCTGAATACACACTTCTCATTGCCGCTACGAGGTCCGACAGCTCTGACAGTTTTCTGGGTGCGCTGCAGAAGCAGTGTGTCTTCCTGTTCCAGCTCATCATTATCCCACTGGCGGCAACCCAAAGCTGAGCAGATGTACCTCACCTGCAAACACAGATATAAAACTAGTAAGGGATATTAGTTACCGGAGATCAGAGACATTAAACAAATCTCTATCCATTATAAAAGGATGAGGAGAGGTGTAAAAAAGTGCCCCTAGTATTAAGATACATCAGCTAGGTCACCAACTCCTAAAATGAGCTATTAAGAATCATAACAGTGGGCCTCCCCGGTGGCGCAGCGGTTGAGTGCTGGGTTGCGAAGCGCCCGCAGCCTCTGCAGCACCGGTTCAATTCCTGGCTGCCTGGCAAGGGTCCCACATGGCGCGCAGACCTCTCCTGCCACCTGGTGCTCCCCTCAGCAGTGCATTTCGTCAGTCTGCCTGCTCTGCTCTCCGCTCTGTCTCTGGTGAATTCTCTCACCCTCCCGCGCTTCTGACTGTACCCAGTGCGCGTATAAATAAAAAAAATCTTAAAAAAAAAAAAATCCATTCTTTAAAAAAAAAAAAATAATAGTACCAGTGAATATTTGCTTCAGAGAATGATTTTAAGGATTTAGATCATTTTAGTCTGATTTTGAAGATTTCCAGGGGATATATAAGAAATGGAAACCCAGTTGAAATACCTTAGGAACAACAGCACTAGCACAATTCCAGATGAATTAAAAAAAAAAAAAATTCAACCTCAGAGTTTCCATATAAGTATTTGGTGTCTGAAAATCTGAACTTTTCTTTTAGCTGTAGTATTTAAAAGTACCTTCTTCAAATCTTCATTAAAATAGAAATACTCTCAGATGGATGATAATGAGTGCCTTGGTGGTAGGTGTGGTGTGGTAACGTAAATCTCAAGAGATGTGAACCTGTAACTCTGAATCATATATGGTGTTGTGCACCATTTACCTGAGCAAGAAGGTGCTGTGGGTCTAACTTAGATTAGGTATAATGAAAGTCTGAACTCAAGGGGTCAAAAGGCCATTTTCCTAGTCTTCCTTGTTTGGGTCTTTAGTCTGATATATACACATACGCATTAGATAGATAGATAGATAGATAGATAGATAGATAGATAGATAGATAGATAGATACACACACACATACATACACACACACACATATATACCACATCATCTATATTATAATCACATCAAGGCAGTAAGGCATTAAAGATTCTGTCCTTTCTAAAAAGAGATGTTTTATGTTAGTTATTCCTAATAATGGATTTATATTGTAAGACTGATTGTGAGAAGCAGACCCTGATTATATCCTACAAGCTACTAATAGAGAAAGCCAAGGTCACTAACAGTATGACTATCATAGGACAGATCCATGTGAAATCTGATTGGAAGTTTCTGAGTCTTTCAAAGTCTCGGTCTTCTCATTTGAAAAAATAAACACAAACTTTCTTCTTGGTTCTTATTAGATAAATAAATGTAGCAGTTATTTTTATCATTGGGATTACTATTAATCTTTGGAGGGCTCCTCATCTTAAAAATAAAAATATGTCCCTTAGGAATATTGCAAAGATTTCAAAATAATGTATAAAAACCACACACAAGCCATATTTATTCTTTCTCTTTCTCCAGCTGCTCCTTAGCTTTGCTGCTTATTCTACTATCTTTGACAAAGCTAGTTTTCTTAATTATATCGCCCTTTTCCTAGTTCATGCTTCTTTTATTAAAACAAATGATATTCCCAGGTGAAAATTATAAGAAAATTCACTAACAGTAGAGTATAAGAAACTATTTCTTCTAGCCCTACCTATCCTGATTTCTCCTTAAATTCAACATTTTCACTCACCTTTCCACTATAAGCACTGAGTCCATAGGTGGTGAGAGACTTTCCTCCAACCAAAACAACATCATCTCCAAATTTGTAAGAAGATTCAAGAAGTGATTCAACTGTAAATGGAACTGTTTCCATACTCTCACGGTCTCGGTCCCACTGGAAGAGGTCTCCATCCAGGGAAGGGATGATCATCTTATTCCCAAAGACCTAAAACAAAAACTAACTTTTAAATGGATCTGAACTTGGGGCCTCCCCGGTGGTGTAGCGGTTGAGTGCTGCGTTGCGAAGCTGCCCACAGCCTCTGCAGCGCCGGCCCGCTGCTCCCCTCAGCAGTGTATTTCGTCACTCTGCCTGTTCTGTTCCCCGCTCTGGCTCTGGTGAATCCTCTCACCCTCCCGCACTTCTGACTGTACCACCCAGCGCTTGTATAAATAAATAAATAAATAAATCTTTTAAAAAAATAAAATAAAATAAAAAATAAATGGATCTGAACTTTAAGAGAAGTATTCAGAATTGGAGTCTTAAGCCCAGGTATTCTGGCCTCCCTCTACAGGGTAGTTTATCAACCCAAATCAATTTAAAAGACTAGCCAATCTCTCTTGGGCTTACCAGTAATCCTCTGGTCTAGTTTTTCTAAGCTCTGCTTGTAGGGGCTAACATAATGATATTGAAAGCATTCTATAATCAAGTGATTTCAAGAAGAGTTACTAGGAGCCCTTGTGGTGATATACACGCTAATGAACAAAATGATTTTCCAGTAAAGGGAGAGTATATGCAGTATTTTGCAAGTCTACTTTATCCTGGTCAGTAACTGTCACAGGCTCAGATCCGTGGAACACAAGTTCAATTAAGCAGTATCCCATCATTTCTTTTATTTACTTCCTCAAATCTTCTGTAAGTAAAAAAATCCAGTAAAACACCCCCCCCCCCCCCGCAGCTTACTGATTCTATGCTCTTAGCTGCTCTGCCTTCTTTCAACTACGCTTATTGGGAGTCTTCTGTATGCCAGGTACTATTTTGTTGCTTAGGATAGACCAATGAGTAGAACAGAAAAGCTCTACTGCCTGTGTAGAGCTCAAACTCTGGTGTTGGAAGACAAACAATATGATGAATGATGATAGAGTATATTAGATGACAAAAAGCATAGGAAAAAAATAGAACAAGATAAAGAGGAACTTGAAAGTTCAGTGTGTGGAGGGAAGCGGGTGGCCTAAAAGGAACTCAGGGTAGGCCATGCTGAGAAAGTAAGACAGGGCAAAGCCAAAAGGTAAGACATCACCCCATGCTGATATCTGGAGAGCAGCTTCTGCAAAGACCTTACGGTGGATGTGTGCCATCATGTCTAAGATGCACAAGGAAAGCGAACAGGCTGCAGAGACCAGGGTGGAAGCAGGGAAAGCAAGCAGAATGTGCAGAGATAATGATGGTTACAATTAGGTAGATAGCAGTGGTCAGATTTGGGCAATAGTCGGAAGGAAAAACCAGGATTTCATGGTAGATCCTTGTATGGGATGAGAGAAAAGAGTTCAAGGTGGGCCTCCCCTGGTGGCGCAGGTGGTTGAGCACCGTGCTGTGAAGCTGTCCGCAGCCTCTGCAGTGCCGGTTCAATCCCGGCCGGCCGGTGAGGGTCCCACATGGTACGGTAGACCTCTCCTGCTGTGTCTGCTGCTCCCCTCAGCAGTGTATTTCGTCAGTCTGCCTGTTCTGCTCTCCGCTCTGTCTCTGGTGAATCCTCTCACCACCCCCCGCCCCGCGCATCTGGCCTGTACCCCGGTTCTTGTATAAAATAAATAAATCTTTAAAAAAAAAGAGTTTAAGGTGATTCTATAAAGTTTTTGGCCAAGTACATCTTGTGTCTTGAGAAAAAGTATCACCACATGACTTTGAGACATTGTCCTTGTGACATTTAAAAATAAATACAATTTGACTTACTTTATCTAATAACTATTTTCCTGACCATCTAGGCTCAAAAGCTTGGGAAAAGGGAATATAAAACAAGAATGAGTTTAACAAACAAAAACCAAAATCCAAACTGTCATAAGTTTGTTAAAAACAACTTTCTCTATGCACATCTTTGTTCCTTAAGCTGCCGAATCCTTTCTTTAAAGGAATGCTTACTTGAAAACTCTCCTCTAGTCACTGGGAGTTCTAAGTTGGTGCCCAGCTCATACTTTCCCCTCCTTTCCCAGCTCTGCCCCACATCCCTGGGTATCTGAAGGACAGGCTGAAACTACCTTTCTAATCTACTTATTTAATTTTCTAGTTCAAATCCTTCTATCTCCAGCATGAACTACTATAATAGCCTTTTTACATTTCTTAACTGGTAATTTCCTGAATTTAACCTGTACATATCTTCTAGACTAATCTGAGTCAGAGTTAAACTTGTTATGATACTATTCAACAGCTCTATATTGTCTTCTTAATAAAAACCTCAAATCTTAAAGCTGACATTCAATGTGCTCTACACATGACCTCAAATAACATTTTCCTCTGTGTCTTTCACTTTTCCCTAGTGTTTAATGTTACTTTTATTGGTCAGTTATATCATTGCCAATGTCATTTCTTCTCCCTGGAACAACCTGTTGTATCAACACTGCCGAGTGAAATCCTATCTGGCCTTCATGCTTACTGTTTGCTTTGAAATCCAAGAAAAATTTGGCAGGGTAAGTTTGCTGACAAAGATCTTCCCAATCCTCAATACCATTATTTTTGCTATAACCATAAACTAAGTCATCATCATAACCTCAAAAGTTGTTTACTGTACCTTTAAAAAATATTTATCAGGTATAAAAATAGGTGTTCATTCATGTTTAGACAATGTTTATACAGCAGCTGTAAAAGCAATGTACTCAAGGATATGATCAAAAAAGATGGGAGTGGGCCACCACTTAAATCTAGAGCAATTTAAGTACAAAATAATTAAGTACTAAATTATAAAGCACTGGGAAAAAAAAGGAATTCAAGAGACCATACTGATAACAAGTAGATAAAATACATGACAGGGGAGAAGGAATTTACTGCTATTAAATGCCAAATGTCTACTAGTAAATATGAAGGGAGGTGGGATAGGAATAAGCATTTTGTAACCATCATAATAAGGATTACATCAGGCAGAGATAAGCAATGGGGTTAAATTCAGGTAGAAATTTTTATGAGGAGGATAACTGCATGGCCTTAAAGTGTCTCCCCCTCCCCTCCCAAATGGTTTATTAGTTACAAGAAATTAGAAAAAAATTAATGGAGAATTAATATTCATTGCATTAACTAATATTATTATATAGAGAATTCGGACAACACCTTGACTGGATGATCAAAATTAGCATCACTGATGAGTGATGAATGAGATACCCTAAGAGAGAACACAACATCACCTATGTAGTATTCCAGCCAAGAATGCACAACCTGAATCTAATCAGAAGGAAGTATCAAACAGAAAATGAGGAAGTTTCAATTTTTATATAGAAGGGCAAAGAGAAGATATCAGAAGTTTTGAGAAATAAAAGTGGCATGGGGGTTTGGGAGAGAAAGGGAGAAAGACAGAGTGCTCAAATGATAACACAAACAAAGTCTGGGGTAGTAAATTTGTGTATAAAGAGGTTGGTGGTTTTTTTGGTATTATTTTTATTACTGTAAATTTTATAACTTAAAATTGCTTCCAAATAAAAGGTTAAAAGAGAAAAGAAAGGTATCCAAGAGACTTGCGGAAGCCGTGTCATTAAATTCAGAAGGCCAAACCATATAAATTATTTATATGATGTATTTAAAGATCTCCAATTATCACTCTTCATTGAAAAAACACTTGATTTTTAACAAACTCTTAGATGACATTGCCATGTATTGCGCCTCACATTATGAGAGGCTTTTAGCATTACTGTTTTATTCTTTGCTTTCTTATATATCTTAATAATACCAGAAAAATAATCTTAGTTTTAAGACAGTAGCATTTGACCATTTTGGGTTAAATATTAGTTAGAAAATCAAATATTTACTGTTCTCTATGTTAAATATTCTTTTTACTAGAGCAGTATATTCAAATTATAAAGTTAGAAACAGGTAGTACAGTTGTCTGGTCATATCAACAGCAGCACTAGTTAAGTAAGGAGAAGGACAATAGGCATGCATCACTAAAAGAGGAAAAGGGGTTAATGGATCTGTCAAAAAGATAACAGCTGTTTTAATTGTTCCCTCCTCCATTAAGCTTCTTTTGATATAAGGCAGCAAGGGGCACTAAAATTGGGGTTGCCCTGTAATTCTCCCCCAAGCAGTAGCAGACCCTTAGGGAACACAATGACTCCTAAATGCAAAGAAAACCAATGCAGTTCAACTAACATGGACTAAAATTCACCTTAGTTTTAAGGATGATCTACATGCCCACAAAAGTTAAAAAAAAAAAGAAAAGAAAAGAAAAAGCAAGTTATCTGCAATTAAAAAATATGGTTTAAATGACCAGGAAGATTTGATTTCACTGAACATATTGAGAAAAATTGCCTTATTTTAAAAGTTAAATCTTCAATAGCATTAACTCAATGAGAGAAGTGTAAACCCCAAAACAATAACAAAAAAGCATGATGATTCGATATTGAATCGTCATGTCATATTTCTGGATTATGATTTTAAAAGCTTACTTTCAAAGAGCTGCTCTTCCCTAATTGGCTGCCTATGAGTCATACATACGGCTGCTAACCTTTGCACCCCGCTCTGCAAAGTCTCTCAGGCTGCATATGTGGAAGCAGATGGTGCTTTTCCTGGAGAGCCACAAGAAGAGATCTATGCATGCAGTTCAGGTAGAGAGATGACATCATCCCTCACAAGAACATTACCTCACCCTCCCAGCATAGGAATGAGTCACCCAGATTGTTAGCTGCAAATCTCTTGGTACAGAAAAAATGTAGGTTATGGTGATGAATTTTCACATTCCACTGATTTGTCCCTGTAAGCAGCTATTTGTTCTGATTCGCTGCTCTCATCTCAAACTAATTATGTCTTGCTTCCCCCTTCAGTCATTTTTTTAAAAATGTAAATTCTTGTTATTTTGGGTCCCCCCCCCTTTATTTTCTCCTGTTCATAATTTTAAAATAAGAAGTTTGTTACCCTAACTGGCAGATTCAGTACCAAAGATCCAATCAAGGTCTTTATCCAGGCAGTCACAAAGCAGTTTAGTAAAGTAGTTCAATTTCTATTTCTGAACAAAGTGTAAATGGCATAAT